CTTGAATTGTAATGGAACCTAGATTCCAACCATGCACTGTGGTTTTATTTGGCTTTTTCGTGGCTCAGCTGCATCTGCTTCAAGCAGTTACCATACTCTCTCTCTCTCCTCCTATCGCATGTGATTCCATCTTCCCTCTGTAGCCCATCCCCCTCCCTCCCAGATCTGATTCTACCAACACTGTTTTTTTAAACCACAACAGATCACTTTTTCTGGTTAATCTCATTTTTCCAAAATTCAAACACAGCTCTAGGGCTGTCCATTGTACAAACATGTCAGATCCCATGATCCAAGAAGGCCTCCATCCAGAAACTGTATTTATGGAGCTGTCCCTATTCTGCCATATCTCTCTGGAACGGTTCCAGAAGCCTTCTAAACATCAATTCTTAAAACTATTAACTTGCATATTGCTCACATAGAAATATAAGTCCTGTGAGTCACAGTTGGCTCCAGCTCCATCAAAAGTCAGCCCTAGGGTCAATGTGGACTGTAGTTTAATTGCCACCATACCAAGCACCACTACAAAATTAACTCTAAGTAGCTTGTGGTTTCACCCTCAAAATCATTCTAATTCTGTTCTGTAAGAAACTTCACGTAAAACCGGAGGAAAATGCTGTGCAAAAAGATACAAAGCTCTTTCAAAAGAGTGACTACGTCTGCACAGAAGGGGCAGGGGCTGAAGGGGAGGGGGTGTGCGGGGAAGGGGGGGAGCTGTTCTCTGTAACACTGTAGATCTTTTTAACAAAATCTCAAACAAGGATGGCAACATGGTAACACGTTAAACATGTGTGGTGAGTAGAGGCTATCTGCTACACTATCTTCTCCTCCTGGAATGGTTGAAATATACCATAATTAACATTGAAAATTTTTTAGAGGACCTTTTTATGCACTTTGGCTGAAGGTCATATTCTAATTATTCATCAGAGAAGCTTCAGGACATTCTTTGATGAACACAAAGTAATCAAGCTCTGACCTGGCCCTACCTGTCTCCAAGGTACAGTGATCATGAATATAGCTGCTGGTGGGACTTGGAAGCTGCCCTCCTCTACTGGATCGGTGCTGTCATGGCAAAGGGCAGTGCCAAGGCTAGGGCGATGTACAGAGGACCCGCAGGGTATTGATGTGGCCCTCCATCGGTGCCTTTGCTCCCCAGCTCCCAACCCCTGTCCCTGTTGCTAAAGACTTCCACCAGCGTCTGCTTCTTTCCCTTGGAGAAAGGAGGCGTGTTTGAAATGATGTATCTATTCTGCCACCTAGCCTTCAGCCTCATCACTACAACAGAGCTGCCTTAAACATTCTGCAGAGACCTCAGTCTTGCTAACTTCCCTTACCTGGGGAGGAACCCGAGCGACCAGGTGCTTTATTTCTTAAAGGTGACCATACCTTCATTTTAAACTAAGATGAAGTGACAGCATCAGTATGCCTTATGTGTGCTGGTCTCTGGGAAAGGGACTGATGTCAATCTCATAAGATATTTAACACAGAGTAATTACTCAGCACAGGGAATGGTTTCGGCAAGTCTGTCTAAGGCCGTGAGGAGAGTATTGCAAAGGAAAAGAATGAAGACAGACCCTTAGCTGACATTTTTCCTTTCCAACTAGAGGAACCCATGATACTTTAAGTCATATTAAAAGTCCAGTTTTCCCAAACTGTGTTATCGGGTGTCACCCTTGCCTTGAAAATCACTTAAAAACTCAACAGAAAATAATCAAGCTTTATAAAATAAAAATGTTACTCGTCCTTTGAAAGTTGTCCATAGAAAAGCATAAATCTTTTACTTGGTTGCATTTCTTGAGACTTGGTTTTGATATGTAGTTAGTTTTTTAAAAGAATGGGGAGGAGTGATCTCTAGGGGATGAGACACAAGTGGATGATATTTAACTTCTTACTTCTCCAAGAAAAATGTGGTTGAAAGCATCAAAACTCGGACATGGCAGGGTGGGAAGCAGAGTTGGGAAGCTCATGGCAGGGAAAGCACGTCAGCAATAAAGGAGGGAAGGGAACCTGACCTCTGACATTTGCATTTGGCAGAAATAAATGAGCCCCTCCTAGCTAAATTCATTGATGCAAATTATTTTTTTTTCCAAAGGTGATCGTGAACAGATCTAGCTCTACAGAGTGGAGGGGAGGAAGGAAACAGAATGGAGAAAGGCCCATAGGCATGCCCCATAATCCAACATCACATACCAGAACCTCTCTTCCACTCTCTTATGTTACGTGTGGACTCGTGGAAGCAAACCCAACTGGTCAGTCCCGTCTTTGGAAAAAAAAAAATCACAGTAGACAGCCCCAGGCTACCAAGAATTCTTTCTCTTGTGTTTTCAGAAGCCTGCCTGAGGTCCCCAGAAGAGCAGCTCTGTCCTACCAGCTCTCAACCCCTCATGACTTAGGCTCATTTCTAAGCAGACACACGGAATGGTCACTTCACATTTACAGGGTTGCAGAGTACGCGCCCTCCACCGCCCCTCTGCGTGCTACCCCAAGGACCAGCTCCAGCCACTACCTCCTCCTCCTCTCCACAGGCTTTTTCGTCTTCTGCATGAATCATCCCCCTCTTTCTTCTACCTGTCCTCACACATTTTATTTTCCAGCCACTGGAAGTCGGCTAGACAAAAAGACGTGTCACTGGAGGCTGTCTCTCTCAGAATAGAGGGTGGCTGGAACTAGCAACTCATGTTTCTCTGGAAGGAGCACCACAATTTCCCCATTCATCTTAAATGCTACCAGTGTGCTTGGAGTCAGCTTTGCCGCTGAGCTGGTGCAGAAATAGGAGCAGGGGTCAGAACACACACCGTACACTGTTGGGCCACTACTCTTTCAGTCTGAACTTGACACAAAAGGGAAAATAACATGATCCCCATGGTTCCTGAAATATTTCAACCAAATTTTTGAATACTAATTCTCCCCCTACCTTTCCAAGCCCCCAGACAGAGGGGAGAAGCAATGCAAACAGGTCTTGCAGTTTGGGGGGAGGGGAGGTTGTTCAGGGTCTTGTTGGTTTTTAGGTTTTTGGGGTTTTTTTAATCACTACACACAACTCCTCCTCCTTCACCCAGCCAACACCTAAAACCCCTCTGGCAATACAAATAAAAGTGCAACTTTAAGCTTGAGCTCTCTTTTAAAATGTGCCTTTCAGCAAACAGATAAGCAAGCAGGAAGATCAGGATCTGGGAATGTTAACAGCATACAGTGAGATGCTCCTGAACCAAACCAGCAAGAGAAATATTTTCTTAAAAGCAGTCCTACAGACAGAATTCTTATCATAGATAAGAGTGCAGTCTAGTGGCAAACTTCATGAAATGCAGCCCCTTTTTCCAAAGGAAAGTGAGAGCACTTCTAAGAGATGAAGGAAATGTAAAAGGGGTGAAATCCCACCCCAGGTCCTCCCAAATGGGGCCGCAAGGACAAGTCATTTCTCTCTGATCGGGCTGTAAAGTCCGCAGCCCAGCCATGTGGATTTCAGAAACAAAGGGAAATCACCACCTTCCTTCCTTTAAGACTTTAGCTTTCATTCTGTTTAACTAAGGAAAGCAGGGACCTAATAGTGTTTGAAGAGGTTGCCTGAGGTTTCAAATAGAATAGTGATGTCCCTGGTCAGGATCTCTTCAGAACAAATCCCACGGCCCTGTCAGCTCTCAGTCCTGAGATGTACCTGTGCGTGCCAGTTAGCCTTGTAACAAGGTGCGCCTCTGGTCTGTCACCCACTCCCTCCAGAGATGTGGCCCTACCCAGTAGAAATGCTCCAGTAAACCAATGTGAAGGGAAGGTATCACCCCAATCTGCCTTTCTTCCATCCCAAAACCCCACACCAGGATACCTTAGGTCACCAGGCAAGATTTTCAGACTTAGCATCTTCTGGGAAGCACTAGTATCTGAAACTTACTGCTCCCTACAATGCTGTTGAATGAGTATCCCTTCCCACAAGTATACACAACACAGATACCCACAAGCTTGAGCAAGTGCGCAGACGTGTGTGCGTCTACACACACACATACACACACACACACACACACACACACACACACACACACACACAACCTCCCTGGGCCAACAATGGAGCTGAAGGAAAGTAGACACCTCTTTATCATATGACCAAAGACAGTCACTCCGCACTCCAGGGGCAGGAGAAATACTCTTAATTAAATCCTTTTCCTGGGCTTTTAGGGGGGAAAATCCAATTTTGCTTTTCTTTTTTTTTTTCCCCCTTTCTTTTTAATTCAGCTCACTACCCTCAGCTGGCCATCCTACACTAACACTCCCCTTCAAACACACACACACAGACACCCCTCACACAGTAACTTAGACACCAGCAGACAGCCATTTCCAAAGCTTGGGAAGAATTTCTTGGGCACTGTATATATCCACTTGGCTAATAAGAAAATGCTTCTCCCTGCAGCTTGGGCCTTGGCTAGTTAAGGGGTGGGAGGGAGGGGGAGACCGAGTTAGTCTTCATTGTGTCCACCAGCTCCTCCAATTCTCCCTTATACTCGCACTCCCCCCCCCTCCCTCGTAGGCAGCCCAGCTCTGTCCCCCAACCCCCTTTCTTACATTGGGGGGGAGGGGGGCACTGTTCCGGGAGCTCAGGGGAGCCCCCGTGTGTCTAGAAGGCCTCTCCCCACCCCCACCCCGTGTGAGTTTGTACTGCAAAGCTCCTTGGCATCCTCGCCTGGGTTGGGTGTTGGGGAGCTCAAATAGCAGCTACAAACTGGCTGGAGGCCAGGGGCCGTCTATTTAAAAGCGCCTGCTCCACCGGAGCCCGTAGTCTCTTTGGAAACTTCTGCCGGGGAAAAGAGCTAGGAAAGGGGCAAATCGGTGTGGGATTTCCTTCTCTTTTCTTGCTCCTTTTAATTACCCCTCTTCCGTTTGCACCCTTCTTCGAGCTTCACGGAGAACCTGCAAATTTCGAAGAGGTGGTGGCAGAGTGGGAGCAAAGAGGTGTTAGGGTTTGGGATTTGGGCCTTTTTTTTTTTTTTTCCTTGATTTCGACATTTTCCCCCACTCTCGCGGACACCGCAGCCGCCGCTTACCTGTTCCCCGGCAGCCGCGCGCTGCAGGCAGCTGCAGGTTAGAAAGGAGCAGGGTGCATTTTAGACTTTAAACAAAATTTTTGCAGACAGCCCCATTTTTCTCCCCCCCACTCCCTTCTCCACAGCCTCCGAGCTCATTATTCCGGTGGTTGCTTTGGGGTGAACAATTTTTGGCTTTTTCCTCCCTGTAATTCTGAGCGGGTCTGGCTGGGGGGGGTTGTTTCTCCGGCTTCCACTCCCTCCGCGTGCACCTGGCGCGGCTCTTTTCCCCCCCACCTGTTGCAAGTCCTTTAATCCTTGCAGTTGGGACTTGCCGGCAGGCACCTCAGCCCTCCATCTCTCCCTACGTTTTGCAATTGTCTGGGGGAGGGCACCTGCTCTACCTGCCAGAAAAAAAATTTTTTTAATTTCTCCGGGCGCCCTCTTAGCCCCTCTCTCCCTACACGCTCGCTCTCGTGTCCCGCCCCAAGGTAAAGAGGAAGACTCGGAGAAGATGGTGCTCACCGCGGTCCTCCTGCTGCTGGCCTCCTGTGCGGGGCCGGCCCAGGGCCTGGGCTCCTTCGTGCACTGCGAGCCCTGCGACGAGAAAGCCCTCTCCATGTGCCCCCCCAGCCCCCTGGGCTGCGAGCTGGTCAAAGAGCCGGGCTGCGGTTGCTGCATGACTTGCGCCCTGGCCGAGGGGCAGTCGTGCGGCGTCTACACTGAGCGCTGCGCCCAGGGGCTGCGCTGCCTCCCCCGGCAGGACGAGGAGAAGCCGCTGCACGCCCTGCTGCACGGCCGCGGGGTTTGCCTCAACGAAAAGAGCTACCGCGAGCAAGCCAAGATCGGTGAGCGCGCTCAGTGTGCCAGTCAGTTACGCGGCGCACGGCCGGGGGACACAGGGCAGGCTGGCCCCGCGCGCTTGGGCCAGCAAGTGGCTTGGAGCCGGGGTGTAGCCCGGGAGGAGGGCGGGGAGGGTCCTTGCACCTCGGAATTAGAGCCTGACGGATCCAGCTACCCCGGGCTGCTTTCTTACCCGTGCCTCTCGCAGCTTTCGCTCCTTCTCCTCGCCCCTACCCCCACCCTTCCCCACCCACCTCCTCCCCCTCCTTCTGAACACTGGCTCTGAGGGCATTCGGTCTCCAGGTCCAAGCCCCCACGTACTCAATTTCCAGTCTCAGAAGGTGCGTGTTCCTGTATCAGCTCCCTCCTCCACGCACCTACCCACCTACCCAATACGGGTTTTTTTTCTAAACTTGAAAAAAAAAATCTCTTTGTTAAAATATTGCTTCAACTGGGAACCTGGAGAGAGAGGCGTTACCGGTCTTCTGTGGTGATTCCACCTTTGTCCCTTCCAGCCCCTGCCCCTGCCCCCTACCAGTCCGTACTGGAGTTTCTTCCCCTCTATCCCAACACCCACTCGCGCGCTCACACACACGCAGAAACGCTTGAAAGCTAACGCCTTTAGGGTGGGGGCTTTTATGCCCCTCCCACGTGCACACCCATCGCTCGTGACTGGTGTGATTGTTTGTGGCATAGGGTAAAACATCTTAAAATGCCAAATGCCTTTTTTCCTTCCGGGAAGGATAAAATTACTTTAGCACGCTCGGCGGCTGCGGGGAGGGGTGGGGGGAGAGGGGGGGCCTGAGAGGAATAGGAAAGAAGGATTTCTGTTCCCCTGTTGAGTGTTGGTCCCTGAATCTAATTCCTTTTTCCCCGCCCCAGTTCAGATTTTACCTAGGAAGAAAGGTGGATATAGGAGCGAGAAGGGATATAGAACTCAGACATCGCAACTTCCCCGCCAGTGCTAATCTCACCCCCCACCCCCCACCACCTCAGTCTTTCAAACTGGATCACAAGTGGGTGTGGTGTAAATGCTAGAGGGGCCCTGGAAACACAGAATGCAAAATCAACTGGGCGGAGACCGAAAAGCCGCGCTCCGGGAGCCTCCCCTCCGCCTCCAAGTAGCCCCGCCCACGAGTGGCCCCGCCCCCAAATCCTCTGCGTCTGGAGTCGAAGGTTTAAAAAGTTAACAGAGCTACTTGTTCTGATCAGAACAGTTCTGCCCCCCCTCCTTCCTTAAAATGTGGCTCCTTTGGATTTACCTGATCTCACTTTTTTTTTTTTTAAGTCTAATGGGTTCTACACGAAAATCTGGGCTCTGAAACGTCAATCTGGTTATTAATCCTCCCCAAAAGGGCTTAAGACTTAGCTAAATAATGTTTGCTCTGTGTAGTTTCCCACTGGAGCGAAGCCCTTTTTTTCCCTCCCATCCCGTCCATTAGGGCACCCCAATATAAGTTTTCGTAACTACAAACTGCACACTATCGCGCGGGGTAAGAGTGCGTCAGCGCTTGAGAAGGGGCAGGAGAACTTTCCTGGGTTCAGCCTGGATTCCCCACAAAGCTTGCAGGGTTTGCCTTTCGCCCTCAGCCGCCCCCCACTTTTCGAGAGGCAGTGGTCCTCCAGACTGCAGCCTGCCAAAAAGGAGCAGAGTGCGACGCGCAGGCCCCGGAGGCCCTAGAGGCCGGTTTGTGGAGTTATTTTTATTAAGAGCCACTTTTCGAAGGCGGTCCTGGCCGCCCTCATCTTCGGGGATGTGGATTTGGAAGAGCTTAGCACGGGGCGGTGGCGGAGGGGGCTAGGCGGGGTGGGGGAGGGGACGGGGTCGGGGGGACGGGCGGAGAAAAGGCATGAATCGATTTCCTGACTAGGAAGCGAGCGCTCTGGGTAATAATCCGGTCACATCGAAAGTATGCAGGGTATCACTCAGCCGCATTCTGGCCCCGCTTTTATTTGCCCAACCGTGTGGTTGGTGTGATGTGGTTGGTGTGGAGGGTGGGCGCGCAAGGCGCGCGCGCGCGCGCGCGCAATTGCTTGGAAGAGCAAATTGGCTCATCATCCAACTTTCCAGTTCAACGTAACACACACACACACACATCGGTTTTTGTCCCAAGCAAGATGCCCTTTAGACTTCTCTGCCGCCCATTCTTCAGCCCCCATCTTCAAGGTGCCTCCCCTCCCTACCCCAGACTTTCTTGGGACTCCACCCTTCTTTGGCAGGTGCCTGACCAACCATTGTTACAGGATGGCAACAGGAGCTGACCCCTTCCTCCCGGAAGATAGTATGGTAGTAGGAGCTCCTGGCTCGACCCTTTCAACTCGAAAACTGTTGAGTGGGTCCCCCAAAAGTTGGAGATGGTGCAGAGAGGGTTCATAAAGAGAAGGAAATGACCAGAGAGAGGGAGGAGAGTGTCCGCTCCCTTGACCAAAAATTCTGCTCCTCAACACCCCACTACCATGTCTCCTTACCAAAGTCATCAGTGAGAAGTTGGCTTTGCCTCTCTCTCCTGCGGTTGCCATACAGATGGAGAGGATATGCATATATATGCGCACACCTAAGTCAAAAGATATATGCATAAAGGAAGAAAGATATGGATATAGATACATATCTTTTTTTGACCAAAAGAAACTGAGCATTTCCAGAATCCGAAACGGGGAGCTGAGGAGAGCGAGCTGGCAGGCAGCCAAAGCTGCTGGGAGGAAGAGCTGAGGGCGGGCGGGCCCAGACTGGTGTTTTGCTGGGCGCGTTGCTGAGCAACGCGAGAGCGAGTCTGCTCTGCCCGCGAATTGGGTGCTGAGAGCACACTGGGCCCTGCATTTTATTTTGGCCAGTTCTGGGGCAAAGATAGATATAGAAACAGAGAGCAGTGTGCGTGAGGCTGGAGGGAGGCGGGAGACGGGAGCTATTTATTGATCCAAGCTCAATAAATATGGGTGAGCTGGGTCCAGCCAAGGAAGCACCCGGCTTTGCTTGGGCATTGTTTGGAGAAGGACCCTTGTGGTTTTCTGGGCAAGAAGGCGAAATACATACTTGCCCCGTTCTGGGAGATCTCTCCTGAGTGCATGAGACATTAAGCTTGGGTTACAGGGAGAAATGGGTTCTGAGTTTCAGTTCTGTCATTGAGAAATAAGAGAGAGAGGACAGATAATATGATCTGGGAACGAAAAAATATTACCTAAGTAAAAATAAATTCGGTCTTTGCTTCTCTGAGATGTTTGGCGTTCATCACCCTGGCATCCTCTCCAAGCCTGGTCCAAATGCCATGTTGAAGTCAAGCCCTGGAGTTAGGTTTATTGGCCAGATTTGTGTCTCGGTTGAACAAGATCATGGAAAACCAAAGGAGCCAAATTCCTTTCCCACCCGCACACCCTCCCTTTGAAATAAGCCTTTGAGAGGCTGGCTGTGTCCTGAGCCAACCAAAGTGGGAGCGGGGAAGACGAGAGATGGTGCTTTTAACTTGACTTTTCTTGCCTCCCGCCCCCTCTTTCTGCTGTGTCAGCTCAGACTGGAAGGGCAAGGACAGTTGGCCACAGTGAGAGCTCATTTTCTACCATATTTCTCTTTTCTTCTCCCTCCCTCTCACTCTCCCCCCCCCTTCTCCTTCCCCTAGCTCCACGGCATTCCTTGGGGACTTGGATTTTAAGTTGGAGCAGCTGCCAGTCAGTGCTGGGACTTGGGTTGGATTTGAGCAGACAGGTGGGTTTGCAGCTGCAGAGGGAGGACCAGGCTGACCTAGGAGGCAGAGGTCACTATGAGGGTTACAGCAAAGGGCATGGGAGCAGGAATCCCAACAGAAGCCCTGGGCCCCTTAATAAGGGGTGGGGGGGGCACAGGAGGGGGAGATGGCTAGCAGGAAAGGAAGGTGATTTTTATCTGTAGTTTTTACTTTGTACCTGAGCAATGCCTTTGAAACTTTGGGTTATTTAATGCATCGAACATAGATACTTCGGAGAAGGGATGCACACATTCCAAGCCCACTGCACCCAGAAACTGGAAGAACTCCATAAACAGACCAGGTACCAGTGAGGGACCAACAGGGAGCAGAAGTGAAGGGGGAGGGTGGAGGGAGGTTGGATGTGGTGAGAGACGAGGAGGCAATTTGGAGGGGTTTTGTCTGAGTTTTTGTTTTGCATTTTTACTATGCTGATCCAAAAGTTCCAGTCCCCAGAGAGCATCCTTAAATGGCAATCTGGATGTGTTTTCCAAAACAATGAGATTTATTGCATATTTGCAAAAATAAATAAGGAAATAAACAAGGAAGCTGGTTCTAAGCTTCTACTCCCCACTGCCCCATATCCAGAAGATCTCCCACTTGTGTTTCCGGTTCCATTTCTTTCCATGATTTCTATTATGATGCCTTTTATATATACATATATATAAATCCAGAGGAGCTACTGAAAACCTCAGTGAGAGACAAAGTGTCTTTTTTTACCTGGCCACTTGGCTCAGCTCAGTCCTAGTGTCTCCCCAGGAATGGTCTAGGTATTGATCCAAGAGTTTTAATGCTGGAGAGAACCCACAGATCATAGCACTCAAAGTGATGGTTTTACAGATGAGAACACTGAGGTGGAGGGTACAGAGTCACTTGTCAGTTGGGCTCTTGCTGGAGCCCTGCCTAACGTGCCACAAGGCCTTCAGCAAATATGGCACAATACTTGTCTTCCTATAGTAGAGGTTGTGAAGACGAACTGGGGGAGAGTGCTGTCTTTTAAGGGAAGAAGTGACATAGCCCCAAAGTGGAGAACACAACACCCTTTCTATTTTCAATCACACTCTGTTGCCTCCCTTTTCCTCCATAGTCTTGGAAGCAAGACTGGCCTAGGCCAGTTGTTTAGTGAGGGGTGGGGACAAGGAGGGTGGAAAGGGACAGTGCTGAGCCCAGACTTTGGGTCCATGGACTCAACTTCCTTTGCTGAACTGCAGAGAGCTCTCTCCTGATGTGGGAAGGCAGGCAGGCCCTCACTGGCCCACCGTGCAGAAGGAGAACATGGCCCAGAAGCAGCC